TGTTGAGCTGGCGTCAGCTGCCTTACAGAGGGAGTTCTTTGTCTCCAAGGCAGGTCTGCGGCCTTCAGTCCCTTGGACATGCTATATGCTAGCAGCGCACGTTGTTGCTAACTGCGGCTGCCTGAAAACACGTCGGTGGGCTCGATTGGAGAGCGTGGTCGCCGTCTGGTTCCTCCGGAGGGACGGGACGCTGCTCCGACCTGGGCAGCTTCGCTCCGGAAGCTTCCGCGAGGCTTGGCTCCAGGGGGGGTTACCGAGGAATAGCCCCGCTCGGTGAATCCCTCAACTCTGGTGATGGGAGCGGACTGGGGACCGACTCCTCTAATCTACCAGGAAAGAACCGTCTGCGGCCTCGCCCGTGGAACGTCCTGTTGGAACGCGAGGCCGTATGGATCAAGACGGTGAGCCAGAGTGGAGCCCAGTGAAAAATAACCTTTCCGCCGATCATCCGAACTGGCGGGAAAAGGCGAGGGACGTAGAAAAAAGGGGTCCCTTCATGTCAGCCTCCTCCTGGGTTCCGCCGGGCAACCCCTGAGGGCGCCGTCGGCCGGGAGCGGTGTGATCGCCGATGCGAAACGAGGTGGGATGGGGTGAGCATTCACTCAGCCCCCCTCCACCTACACTACGCTCCCCAGGAGGGAAAGAGCAGCGGGGCTGCAGCTGAGCACGCCTTGCCCCGGAGGGACCATCCGGTTCGCCCCGAGGGTCGGCGATAAGAGGAAAAACACAAGATGGCGTTGTCCAGCGTGTAGTGACCTGTCACTGGGAAATGTTCCACGACGCTTACCTTGGAATAAGACTGCTGTCATCTTCTCCTCGGGGAGGAGAACTCACCGGACGACCGGAGGTCGACTGCCGGGCCAAGCATCTTTCGCAAAGGTTGGTCATTTACACAATTTATCTTCTTTGTTCTTCTGACAGTGCTATATTAGCTCGCTGAAGAAAAAATGGGAGCCGATTTCCCGCTCTTAACGTAATTTATACGGACCGGGTGGGGCCCACACAGCAGGTGGGCGTGGACTAATTTTTTTTTCAGTGCTTATGCTCTGCATAACGGGATAAACCCATCAGCGACAGCCTTAAAGGGCGAAGCCTATATGAAATAGAACTTCATTGTGTCTTTAGAAAACGCATATGACAGAGTGCCGAATTCAATCATGATTAAAACGACAGGAGACTTCCCAGGGAGGATGTTTCAATTTATTTGACATTCATTTTTATAAAATAACCAAGTCAATGCTAGGCATCCAGTCCAAAACCACTGTGGGACACTCAACACAGCTGGCATTAAAAGCCAGGCTTTACAGAGCCATTTCTAAATCTGTGCATTTAGAAACTAACCAGACAAAAGTATAAATCTAAAACAAAATTATCCTTGTGTTCTACATCTCTCAGAGGCGACATCACCGGGGCAGCCGAGATGAAAATGCATTCAGTAAAAACAGTAAGCACAATGCTTGTGGCAGCCAAACTCAGATTTACTTTGAATTCAAACACCACTTTTCACCCCAAAAAAGTGTGAAACTGAGACACAAGGCTGCCTTTATGAAACGTGACAACTTGAGGCTAACGGTGCTTTTTTTAACTCTTCTGGGTACTCGTCTAGTTTGAAACACTTTGATTTTCAACACTATTGAATATAACAATGTTAGGGCACTGAGGAAATGCTCATTATAACTATGGACATTATAATTTAAATGCTTTACCCCACCAAATAAATAATTGCTTCAATATTGATAAGTTGTCAGATTAATTATTTACATTATATTGGGCTAAACAAATGTATGTCCCAAACAGCATGGGAAGCTGTGGAGACACAGAGTCAACAGCTGGCGAGCATCTGTGCCAGTTTTCACTGAATACTGCAGCGGCCCAGGATAATTTTCACCTGCGCACACGTCGTCTCTCTGCGACACAGTAAAGCAGCTCAGAAACGAATAACCACCGCTGCCGTTCAAACCTACGAACACATTTCAGGTACTTTGTTTGAAACCGAAATCAAAAAGAAAATGGGAGTCGATGATAATAAAAAAAAAGAAATACCTGATAACGTTCAGAGAGATGTGCAAAATAAATCAAGACTATTTCACTCCTTAAAAAACAAACAAAAAAACTTAAACAGCATTTGACAGGTCTGATCAAACATTCAGAACGTTTTCATTTTCAGACCTGCAGCCGACGCTTCCCGAAAACATAATGGTACTAAATAATACTGGTGAGGGTTTCTGCTCATCTCCAGTCCATCAGTACCAAGCTGATCCCACTCCTAACAACAGAGGGCACCGGAGCGATCACACCAGCTTCAAGACACGTCATCGGAACCAGAGAGGCAGCAACGCCGACTGATCTCAGGTCAGAGCGTTCGGTTCCTCCACAGCGAAGAAATCAAACTCTGATCATACGAACACATCAGCTCTCCTCTTGTTGGATATACTCGTCATACAGAGAAACATTTATATACATCACACGCAAACAGATCGGGCTGTTTCCTCGTACACGAACATCTGAGGGTATTTGGTTGCGGACAGCCACAGAACACCTTTGGAGCGTTGCTAGTAAAAACGACGTTAGTGCAAGTGCAACAAAAATAAGAAAACGGGAAAATAAATCATCTGTAGCAAGGTTAGAGAACACCGAGGACAAAAACATTTGGTGGAAAGGATGCAAGCTCGACTTATAATTCAGCATTCACAGATATTAGTCTTTCATTAAACACAAGTTTATCCACCGTACTGCATCAGGTGCAAAGCACACAGCTCGTACGCGTGTCAACATACTGAAGGGATAGAAAAATCATAAATGGTCTAATTTGCTGGTAGTGGAGTGAACTGTTCGAGATGCGGAGGAATAAAAAGATGCGATCTGAATAGAGCAAGTTTTTTTTTTTTTGGCTCCTGTGCTGAAAGGTTTGAACACTGAGGGTGAAACCCGACAGTTACATGAAACAAAGTTTGATGAACTCGTTTACGCTTCAGTCTTACGTTGCTGAACGTTCACAACATGCAGCCGACAACTCCCCTCCTTTGTTGTGCACCTGCGCCGTGCGGTGTCCAACAAAGTGGCAGGAATTTCACCTCGGTAACATTCTCTGTAACGGCAATAAAAAAATTAAAAAAACAACCTTTGGCGGTGAAGAAGAACGTTTGCTTTGCTGGGACCAGCCAAACAAGTTTGATTCGAATACTGAAGCAGTGCCGACGGCAAAAATCTCTACGTACAAAATTAGTCATTCTCGGCGAGTCCACTGATGAGGCCGCGCAGTCGGGCTTCAGCTGATGGGCCTCAAAAAACAACATTCAGTATGCTTAGTATTCACAAATACACACAAGTACTAGAATCCAGCAGTTCAACCCAAGTACTAGAATCCAGCAGTTCAACCCAAAAAATATTTGTCAAAACTGAAGAACTTGTACTATTTCTTTTGAAATGTTAAGACTTTTGTCACAGTTTAAATGCAACCGGAAGTCTTCCATTGTCTATCTGAGTGGTCTCCACAGATAATCCATTCATGTCATGGCACTAAACGTACAGCAAAGGATAAAAACGGCTGCAAAAAGAAATGTAGAAAGGACAAACGAGCATTATTA